TTGGCCGTCTGTTGTGATTGCAGCTTTTCGACGTTAAGCTTTCCTTGCATTGATGGGCGCACATTTTTTGCTGCACAGAGGCGGGTGCGTATCTTGAATTATTAAGGTAAAAAAATGCTCAAATGTTTGGAGACATTTTTCTCAACTAACTATTGCTCGTAGTCCCGAAACCTACCAAAAGCCAATCAAGCCCACCAACCTACCAAATGGAAAAAAGACCTACCAATTTTGGTAGGAAAAGCTTATGTTTGGCAACACTGATACTGTGGTGAAATTAGGTAAGCAAATTTTCGGGGGGAAACATCGATACATCGATGTTTCGATGCATCGGAAATGTGAACATCGATGCTAACGCTGACGACACACAATCAGTTTTTGTCTTTCAATTTCCCCACACACATTGCTTGTAAAAAATCATCAAAACGGAAAGCCATTACGTAAGCAGCATTCAATTTGAGAAGCAATTTCATTATCAAAATGTCGCCTTCAAGAAAACAATATAACTAACTAGCTTCTTAGAACATTTTCCATCTTAATTCCATTGTAGATTAACATTTTAACATGCATAAGCTTAGTATTTTTTTATTTTCACAAAATTCGAATGCCAATGCTGAAAAGCTGATCAAAGTTGAAAGCAAAATTGAAACTCAATTGAAAGAGAAAAATTGAGAGCAAGCTGCTCATTCAACCAATAAATAAGAGTGAGTTAGTGAAAAAGTGTGAACGCCGGTCCACATAGAACTTTCGCGTTGGCGTTAGTTTGACAGAACGCACGTTAAAAGTATGCTTGCTACAATGAACGCATGGCAGCGAATGCTTGGGCCACTAAATTAATATACTAACTACAGATAAATTAATATTTCATATCAATAATTGCATTAAAAACGATATTCCTTGCCCGCACTTAATTAAAAAGGGAAAATATTTCACACAATTTTATTTATTTGCAATAGCTGACGAGCAACACACGCGAAAAGATGAGAGTTGGCCATCTTTTTGCTTTGTGTTGGCGTGAGCGTTGCCGATTTCTGGCTACGTTGACGTCTGCATTTGAATTCATGTATTCATCGTCAGCTGTTGAAGCGACGCCAACGCCAACGCAACGCCAAAGTTTTAGATGGTCGGGCCTTAAGAGTATTGAGAACTGGAAGGGGAAAATTGAATGTGTATCGGCCCGGTAAAATACATCGACAGAAAAACATCGATATATCGATGGATTCCGATGTTTCACATTTTGTTAGGTTGTAGTCACATTAAAAGGAGAATTTAAAACTTTTCAATTCCAACTCTCTGTAATTCAATTAGAAAACCCCTTCATATGGATGCATTTCCCCGTATTTATTTACCATTCTTCTACCCTTCTTATAAATCATGGATAACTAGATAGATGAAACTCTTTCTCGTGAGAGGGCTGTCGAAGTGTGTATTTTTTATAACATTCTCCAGTAGAGCCACTGTGACGAAAACATGTATGGGCATTTATAGAGAAATTTTAGATTAAACACAACGAACAAAAGTTGCAATATTTTTCATATCTGTTTTATATTTCAGTGTTTACATTGCCAGTAAAATCGCGTTTAGTTGCAAATACTGCTTTATAATAATATTAAAAAATGCGGAAAGAAGAAAACCACTGAATTCGATGTGATGCATTTTCCACACATCTAGTGGTAGCTCGCCACTTCGCGTGTCAGCTGTTTATCTGCCCAGGGATTGGCAGTGCTGCCAAGTACGAAAACGAGCTCCTGGGCGCGCTCTCAGAAAAAATGAGAGAGTTTCTTATCTAGTTATCCATGCTATAAATAGAATAAAAATGCATACCGTAGTAGGTTCGCTGAGCCTAAAGTTCCAAGGCCCAATTTCATTGAAATTTCAACGGGAACCCGGGCGAGTTTTAATGATTAAGGCTTTCTGCACATTGGTCGTCCAATCATAGTTGCTTCGTCGTCACAATCATGATGCAACGATTACATGACGACTACACTTTCGCACACTCGGTCGTGATATTTCAATTCATTCGGCGTCTAAAAATTCACTTGGAGCAGGTATTTTCTGTTTTTCTGATTGATATTTTCGCGAGATATTTACAAAAGGCTGCAATTTTTAAAATATAGATTGTGCTTCAAAAATTTTAGACACCATTTTTCAGTAATACCTCTTCTTTTCTTTTCCTGAAATGTGCTTTGTGCATGCACACAGACACTTTTTACAATTTCGTCATATTTTATAGTAAAAACGCTCACATTTATTGAATTTTAATGCAATTATCCACTTTTTAATAATTTCCACAGATTTTATGTAAAAAAATACTAATTTTTATACAATTTTAATGCGAATATTAACTTTTTCACTAATTTTCCCCCATAAAATGTAAACAAACAATGCGTGCACAACAATTAGCAAAAACCCGTTTCTGCATCTTCTACGATATGCCGATAACTAGCCGATAACGACAAGTGTGCTCATCTCCTTTGAAATGCGTGTGCTCGGCTCAAAATTTCAGGGCGAGACGATAACGCAACTATGATTGGACGACAAGTGTGCAGATAGAGTTATTTATTATATTTTATATTACTGACGTGATAAAGTAACTAAAATATTTTATAATAATACTACGTTTCTAAATATATGTTTTTAAGATGTTTGCTATATAATTTCACACTGTTTTATTCATTGGGGGAAACTTTCCATTATGGCCGTTCGTTAAAGGTGGGGTGGGCGAAGGGGGAGTGGGCGTGGCACCTCCAACCGACCTTTTTGGGAGGGCATGAACCGCCATTGACAAAAATGCAACCCCCGACCTCCTAGGCCCCCTATGGTTCCTACGGGCCCCTTAGAAAAATGGCCAAAAATCGCAATTTTTACTTGCTTCCACAGTATCTTTGCGTAGAATTCCTTTCTGCGTAAGCGGCCTTCGGCCCGCTGATTATAACCCTTACTACGTAGAATTCTCCTTTCTGTGTGACCTAACGGGGCCACCGCCCCAGTGATGTAACCTTGGGAAAGGATGAGGTAACTAGAATTCCCTTTCTGTGTGGTAAACCTGGGGCTGCCGCCCCAATGATGTCTATTTTGGTTACTGGGTGTTTTATAAAAATGTCTTGTATATAAAAATGTGTATATAAAAATGTATTGTGCAAATGAATATTTAACAT